TAACCAGAATCAAAAACGCTCGTTGTCACAGTCATTTCTGCCCAGCAAAAACCACCAGACAAACCCGTAACTACACCCTGGCCAGCATTTCTCTCAAGTCAGCTAACTACCTGTGTATCTAAGACGCCGGCAAGATCATGAGCTAGATCCAGAAATATCACAACTTGGCCATATCCTTTCACCTCTCCGCATTTACACATGGGGTCCTTCTGCCATGAGTTATCTAGGTGTTCCCATAGTGATTAGAGTAAGCTCTTTACTTCTAAAGAAAAACCTCCATGCATTGCTGCTCACTGTACATGAACAGCTTCCTATGGTGGTGGTCCAGGACAAAGATTTTGAGAAGGCAACCCACAAACTTTTCTTCTCCAAACCGCAACCCTGCCTCTGAAATTATGGCAGATCTTCCAGATCCACAAGCCACTCTGCAGCAGATAAATGAAGGTTACAAGCGTGTAGACCACTTTTGCAAGACCTTCAACTGCCCGAGCCATCTATTTGAGAGCTTTCAACAAATACTTTTGATTCCAAGCTCATTTGCCAGTCTCCCTGATTTTAGTACAACAGAATTGAACGCAACAAAGCAGTCTGCTGCACTTCCAACTGCTCAAATGACAAATACAGCAACATCTTATACCCACACCAGCAGACATTACTTGAAAGTCTCATCAGAGCTGCTGTTGTTGAGGAAACCAATGCTGGGTTCACTTCCTGGGCGGCTTCAATGAAAGCGTGGGTCTCCATGGTGGCTGGATATTTGGGCATAGAAAACGATATTCTAGATGATTGCTTGGATGAGCAGGTTGCAACATGGTCTAGTACACACTTTGGTCGAGTACATGAGAGCAAGTACGGGCTATTTGACCGGCGCATATCAAAATGCCTTGGGTCTGGGAAAGAATTACCTGTTGACATGAGTGGCCGTCCCATTTTCTAGAAAGGCCTCTGTTCCTGAATGAGAGGAGAGAAAGCCAAAGATATGATGTGAGTCTAGATTATTGGCGGTAGCTTATTTATCGGCTAGTTACAGCATCTAGAGATGGAGTGAAACCATTTCTGTGGACATGAAATGAGAAGGCTTTAACACTGATTTCAATGAACGCATATGCATGCAAATCTATAATCAACGCGCCCTTGAGCCTCGGGAATGGGTAGGGTTGCCAATACCACACGACACACATTGTGCACATCAACGCCTGGAAGTCCGTGATAAGAGGGGGAATTAAATTTCCCATCTATTGCCCCTATTCTTCGTGAGGGAAGCCCGCCATATCTTCATGAAGGGCAAGGCCCACCATCCCTCTATTTCTTCCCCGAGATGTAGATTAGCCATATCGAGGCCACCCTTTTCATGTTGAAAAGTGGGAATCGTGTCAGTCACGCCTGTTATCCTGCTGCTATTTTGAGCTATCAGCAGCTACTATTTCTGGATTCCTGGATTCCTGGATTTTTGAACTTGAACTTTCACATCTATACTTCTATATTTGCCCTGATATTCACAGTAGCAGATTTGGTTCCATATCTTGAATGATTAAAAACCACCAATCATGGCTAGGGAACACTTGGATGCATGATCACTATCACACACATCAACATCAAAACTCTAGAAGCTCAACAGGTTATGAGCCCGGGCTCGGACACAGCATTTTGGACGACGCATATACAGCTAAGCTTCCCTGCCAAGTGATAGTCTTATCAACTCAAGAAGCTGACAAACAACAATCTAGTGATCATGTTGAAAAACAAAGAGGTTCGGAAGACTCTAAAAGAAATTTAAAGAAGAATGAATATCCCTCTGTCAAGAATCTATGACAGACTACAGACTGTCCTCCCCTGCAGATTGTTAACTGAAACCATGCTGAAGCACAGTGGTTGAATCCCAGCCACATGCTTCTAAAAACTGACCCCTTTGCCAAAGGCACTCATATAAACAAGAAGAAAATATGACTCCAACAACCCGATCTACACAATCCTCTCAATTCTTGCTCTTGCTATCAGACAGGGTAACCTCTACGCGACAACACTACCATCAGTGGACAGATGAAGAGCTCAACTTCCTTGCCTACAGTCATGCCCGCCACTGGTCATATGCTTGAATCCAAAGGACACCCTTCCTGTCATCATACACACAAGGAACTCACTTAGCGAAGCTTACTCCCATATGCTCATTGAAGAGCGTGCACACTGTGCATCAATTTCTGCTGATTCACTGATCACTTCTCACACCACATCCCCAAGTGAAGAATCTATACACCCTGACCCTATATAGGGGTCAAGACATCCTCCTCGTTCCTTGTCTCAGCCTGAAGGCAACCTCAAAGTTCCAAGATCATATCCCCTTAGACAAGAGACGGGCAACAGTTCTCTAAAGCCTACCAACCAGGCTACAAACTGGTATAATCTTCGGCTAAAAAGATCTAGAAACTACTGGGTAGGCAAGGCGCGGTTCTTGGTTAACCACTTTTACTTCCCTCACTTCTTCAAGTCATGCAAAAATCACCTGAAATCTCACGGGGTGCCAGATAGGGACTGCATTGCTCCATCTCACTCGCCTATGCCAGACTCATCGGACCTCAGTCCTTCCGTCGTCTCGACCCTGCCCAGTCCCGCATCCAGCCTAGAACTCTTTGGCCTAGAAGCACGCTCCATCAGCCCAACAGAACACTCAGTTGACATGGCTAAGTCTAATTACTTCCCCAAGATGTAGACTAGCCACTCTTTTCAAGTTGGAAAGTGAGAATCATGAGCCTGTCATCCCTGTTATGTGACAGGTTTACTGTTTGATTGCATCATCATCATCTTATTCTTGCTCTTTTCCCATCTACATTTGCTTCTTACATCTATTGAGCATCAGAAGGTACTGAGGCCATGAGACACTCACAACTTTCATTACATAGCAATGGGCTGGCACGCAGCCCATTTGCTCATTTTAGAACCTGCAGACCCTCCCCTAAACACACCCAATGCACAAAGTACTCCAGAGAGCCATGTCGGGCACTACATGCTCCAGAAGGAGATACCCGTACCTCCTCAAGGTTTCAAAGAGAATGTTTGATGCAGGAGAGCTCGAACCCATCAAGACTATCAACCCATGCCCCATTGAACTGTGGCACACACCGATAGTTGAAGCCATCCACATCAACTTCAATGAGAATGAAGCTACTGAAACAGCTCTGAAGACAATGAAACCCCTCTTCATAAGAGTGTTTACAGATGTCTCAGCAACAAATCTGAGCATGAGAGCAGCAGCTATGATAGTCAATGAAGAAAATCATATTCATTACTATAAGTAAAATAGATATAGATATCAAAGAGCACTGGATAGTACTGATGGTGGAATTAATAGCAATCTACTATGCACTCTTCCTTGCATGGCAATCGCACCTCAAGTGCCACAAGCCCCCAAGTCACTCAAGTTGAACCCCTACAGCACTGTACCTACACTATTATAAGCAGCTCGTGCTCTTCTGAATCTTCTGGGGCATCTTCTCTTCATGACAATACATGATGAGACCTTCACACCTGAATTCAAAAAGGTTGAAGATATCTACTGGTATCTCATCCTGTTGCACTGAGGTGGTATGGATCTAAAGATTAAGGCGGAGATGCTGGATGTGCCAGTTTTCTGCCAGCCTGAACAAATGGAGACTGGATACTAAACATCAGAGAGAACAGCCGTGTGTGATCTGCCAGCTTTCAGCACTCTGAGTCTTCCAACTGTCATACCGTTCAGTGGGCGTGTGAGACTGTCGCTGATATGTAGGTAGATAGAAAAGAGATTCTAGGGAGGGACTGGAGTAGACTAGCTGTCTGCAAGGAAATGGGACGGGGAGCAGAAGGGACTGGTAACATGTGTATAATGGTTTGAAAAGGACCAACAGCAACCCGAGGGGGGGAGGGACATGATGGTGATGGTGAGGCCATGACTATCCAGGGAGCCATCATATTTGGGGGGGAATGCAGTGACTGGGAAAAGGTGAGCGGTTCGCGAGCAGTCGCGCGAGCAGAAGGCGAGCAGAAGGCGAGGCCAATAATGGACGTACGTGGGTTCTCAAAAAGCGGCGATCGATGACTTCCGGATTAGATAGTTATAGTGTTAATTAGTGTGGCTGATCAATCCGCGATGCCATGAGGGCCGAAAGTAGCTCAAAACGCCTGCTACTTTCGGCCGTTCATGGCCCCTACGCTGTACAGCGTAAAGATCAATCCTCCATGTGATAGATCTAATCAAAACTTTTGAAAGCGACCTCCGTACTCCGTATTCTCGGCTAATTCTGCTCACTGTAGCTTCCAGTTTCTTCAGCTGGGAGGATTATCCCGATGATTAAGTATTCGCAAGCTACGAATGGCGGTGTCAAGCAGTGGTTGCTTTAACACAAAAATTGGCAACAACAGATGAACGGGCTTTGAGATCCGACCGAATGACGAGATAACTAAGGGTTAGAAACTTGGTTGTACGGGAGTTCGCAGTTCAAGAAGAGTTCCAGCCTTGCTCATACCTACTATGATATGATATGGTGTCTGCCTTTCCAGAGCAAATGATGAATGAATTGAAACCTAATTATTATCGGCGTATTATTTGTGACGTTGACTGTAACAAGGCTGTAAAGAAAACAGTGTCATGTGAGGACTCTTGCACGGCATCATTCCAAGGCGGTGAGGATGCAACAAGGTACTCCGTACTTGTACAGAAGCTCTGGCTGCGCGCTAGCACCAAAGATGGGGTAGTGAGTAGTTACATTATGTTTTGGCCAGGCTGGGCGTCGTCAAATACAGCCCCAGAACGTATGATCACAAAATGATATCATGCAACTTGCGCGGCAAATCGACCGTGGTTGGCCAGAGTTGGACAGTTACCATACGTATGATACCATAGTTACCGCAACAAGGCTAGAGGGGCGGCAACAGGCAGCTACTACGCAGCGTACGGTGTAGATTGCGGGCGAGATAATTCCAGGAATAATAATAATAATAATACCAGTACGAGGCAAATACCACGTCGCAGGCAGATGCAGCCGCCAAGCAGCCAATTGCCGGGCTTTGGCTTTGCTGGGCAACTCAACTCTCCTTCCTTCCTTTCTCTCCTCCTCTTCTCTCCTCTCCTCGCGCAACCTCACCTCACCCTCACTAAACCTCCATCCTCAGATTCCTCTTCTACCATCTCCCTCTCCGTGCTCTCTCCTCTTTGCTTCTTCCATCTATCCACTTGCTAAGTTCTTTGTGCCAGTTGTTCCTCTTCTTCCTTTATTATTTAGTTCAAACCGTTGGCTTTAGCTCGCTAAGGCTCTCCGTTCCCCCAGCTACATACATCAGCCTCATCTACAGCTTCCCCCAGCTTTTTGAACTCTCATCATCAACCACTCCTCAAAGCTTTATCCATCTCCATATGCCGTAAATCATGGCTGCTCCGTTCCAACCCCCCCAGACGGCTCCTGTTGGCCCGGAAACTCTGATTTCCATCAAAGTCCTCTTCAAGGGCTACACGAGACGTTTCAAGCTACCCTTGCGAGAGCTTGGTGCTTCCTCCTTGCCACAGAAGGTATTCAATTTCTCCCCCCCTTCCCTTCCTTTTCCTTTTTTTCATTCTACCTGGGCATTTCATGTTATTGAATTTATGACTAATGTTGGACTCAAATTCCTCTAGGTTCGCCAACTGCTAACTATCCCTGACGATGCCAACGTCACCCTCGAACGTTATTCGGATAGTGCTGGCTCCTACGTAGTCCTTGACAGCGAGAATATTTCTGTATACAAGCAGCTGTATCGTGCAGCTAAAGCTAAATTGAAGCTTCGAATTAAGGTCACTCTGGCTCCAGAGCCAGCGCCTGAACCTGACCATCAACCCTTATCTGTGCCTCCCCAGAGCACAGATGCCCAGCAAGAACAACCCCAGCAGCGATGCAGCTACCTCGAAACCGTTCTTCGTGTCCCGACCGATGGGTTCGTCAACCAAAATGATTATCCTGCTTCTGGAGCTTCTCCACCCCCTCCCTTAAACCCTGCCATGTTCCCGAGCGTTCCAGACGATAGCCCAGCTGGGGTCGACAACCAGATACCTCCCCAGGCAGAACCCCAACGAGATACGGACCTCGTGCAATCAGATCCCGTGTCCACAGCCGGAGATATGTGTGCTGCTGGTCCCAATCTCAATCAGTTGTCGCCCATTTGCATCGACTGCAATCACTGTGGCGAACGTGTGCCTGATGCCCACTATCATTGCAGTATCTGTGATGATGGGGATTATGATCTATGCCAGAAATGCATCGATGCAGGTGTCCTCTGCCCAGGGGAGGGGCATTGGTTAATCAAACGGACCGTCAACGACGGAAGAATTAATTATAGCGTTACCGAGACTATTGCCCCGCGAAAGTACCACGAGCCAGAACCTCAAGAGGAGCTCAACAATACGGAAAAACACATCACTTCTATGGAGGTTGACGAGATGAGGGTTAGAGCGCGGACCTGCAATGCATGCTTCAGAGGTATTTGGCGGAATGTTCCTTTTTTGGTCGCATGCCTCGCTAACGTTGTATCAAAGACTTCAATGAGAAAGAACTTGTTACCTGCCAGGATTGCCCAGACTATGACCTCTGCTTCACTTGTCTTCTTGAGGACAGGCATGGTCACCATCCTGGACATTCCTTCTCCCTTATTGTAGATGGCGAGTTCCAGTCGAAGGGCCTCGTCATGTCGACCTGCCAGCCTGGGCGTGGTCGTTACCACGCTGCAATCTGCGATGGATGCAACAAGGTGAGCTTTTGCGCCCCAAACTGCCTTATTGTTGAATTCGACGGTTCTAATGCCATGCAGTCTATCAAAGGCGTCCGCCATAAGTGTCTTAATTGTCCGGACTGGGATTATTGTTCAAAGTGTATCATGAATGCTCCGGAATTCCACCCTGGTCACCGCTTTGCTCCACTCTATACACCGATTCCCGAGCCACACGATTACCGCCCAACTCACTACGGCGTTATCTGTGATGGTCCTCTTTGCTCTGTGTCTTCTAAGCCTGTTTATATCAGAGGAATCCGCTATAAGTGTGCCGTTTGCCATGACATAGATTTCTGTGGAAATTGTGAAGCCCATCCTGACAATACTCACAACCGCACACATCCTTTGATTAAGTTCAAGACGCCTGTTCGCAATGCAACTGTCACTACCTTCAATAACACCGGCGGTGGTAGGGAGAGTGCTGTTACTCTCGGTGATCAACCAGTTACGAAATCCACTTCAACTGAGACTGTTGCACCTTCGAAATCGAATGCTGCAACTCAGGTTCAGACAGAGAAGGCAGACACGGACGCTGCCAGTGTGGCTGACAGTGACGCTGCCAGTGAGGCAGATTCCACCACTGCACAGCCAAGCGTTAAAGATGATGCTATGACCAGCAGAGCAGAACTAAGCTCCACGCCTTCTGAACTTCGCGCTCTCTTCGTTCGAGACACCATTCCTGATGGGTCGCGTCTTGCTCCCAACAAGACCATTACTCAAACATGGACCCTGTACAATCCTGGGCCTGCCCCCTGGCCAAAGGGATGCAGCGTTCGCTTTGTTGGAGGGGATAGCATGTTCAACGTCGACACCAATCATCCATCCAGTCTCAGCAACCTTGTGTCTGCGATGGAATCGCAAGAGCTTACGATACACACTCCCGCAGGTGCCTTTGCTGACTTTACTATCGAACTAAAGACGCCTCGGCGTGAGGGCCGGGCCATTTCATACTGGCGTCTCAAGACACCTGATGGACGTGCTTTTGGGCACAAGCTATGGTGTGATATCGACGTCCGAGCCTCTGCCGAGGAGATGGAGACTCTTCCAGAGCAGACTGCAGATAATAAACAGTCCTCCGTCGAAACAGAGAAATCAAGTGTCGAATCGCGCACCGAAGCCGGAGATGCTGAGGTTTCCCAGGGGGAGTCTCAGTCTGAGAGTGCAATGATATTCCCCAAACTGGAGACAGAATCCCCTTCAGCGAGTATCGAAAAGTCCGTTTCTCCTAAAGTTCCCGCAGCCAACGAACTTGAAGTGAATCATGATCTGGCAGATGATGTTGAGAGCCTCACGCTTGATGGCAACTCGACTGAGGACGACTTCCTGACTGATGAAGAATATGATATACTTGATGCCAGCGATCAGGAGTTTTCTCCCGAAGCTCAGAGGGCGGACAGGACATGAAGTTTCCCCGTGATGCCGGGTTACTTTTTGAATATTTTACATGCGTACTTCGCCTGATGCTTCTCCTCTCTAACATTTTTCTCTTCCTTTCCATTTCGTTTCCCATTTCAATTTTTTACGATATGAAAAAGCAGAAAAACTTAAAACTAAGCCAGGTGGATCTTAATGCAATTTTTTCCTCTCGTCCCTCACGCTTTCCTTCCTCAATTTCTCTGCAGTTTATGGCAGTTTGTTTTTTTTTTTTTTTTTTTCGGATGTTTAACAGGGCGAGCAAACGTATTGGTCCGTGTTTGGACTTGATGAGAATGGCTAGCATTGAGGTATGAGGATGATGTATCTGTTACCTGATGATGTCTTGCCGCTGGGTGGGCGGTAGCTGCGCATAGGACGGCAGTCATGCACCTGAAATGAAGAGAGTTGAGAATGACAGTAACAGGCAGTGATGGCTTGTTGTGGGCGATTGAGTTTTACTCTCTGGGTTTTTTAATGTTGTTCTGCCTCTCGCATCATTGTTTTTACCCTCGTTTTTCTTTTCATCCTTCAGTAGTTCTCCATCTACTCTTGCTGAAATTCGTGCAATATCTCCTCTGGCTCATTGAGTTAAGCAAAGTTTAGTTATCTAATCATTGGCTTTTTTGTTTGATTTCCCATCCCCTACCCCTGAAGCCACAAGTCGGTCGTTTGGCTTCTGTTTATTGCTGGTAGCTTTTAATGTAAAATGAAATCTCAGCGGACAAAACTCCGTTCAATTTCGGTTTTTTAGGTAGTTCGAAGTTCTGCAGTAGTATTTTGTTGGGGGTCCCGGGAGTTGATCGGCCCTTCTACCAGCAGTGCGCTGGTAGAAGGGCCGATCAACTCCCGGGACCCCAACACCCCCCCTCGGACCAGCTATCACAGAGTACAGTACTTCCTCTCAGTGGCTCCATTCAGTGGTCTCCCCACAATGGCTCCATTCAGTGGTCTCCCCACAATGGCTCCTTTTTAATAATGGACTGGACCACTCAGTCCTAGGGCTCATGGGACTTCTAGGGCACACTTCTGAGATGTCTCTTGGCACTGTTAAAATGTCCAGGGTATTTGTTAGGAATTTTTAAGTCCATTCTGGGATCAAACCCATGCATGTTGATCACAGCGGGGCTCACGCTTAACAGTCTCATAATCTGTAGAATAGTTGAAGATTGTATTGATAGATCTATCTACAAGAACATAATATAGTGATGAGTCATGTGATCTAGTGAGATTGCTAACTGCAACAGCTGTAACAGCCAATACTCTCTCTCAAGATAATAAGAATCACATACAAAAACACTCAAATCACCAAGATAGTCTGTCAAAATCAAATACAAATGTAAAATTAAACATTCTCAACTTTTACATCTGTAAGACCTAGTAAAATCATGAATTATATAAATATCACAGTGTCTAGAGATTTAATAAGTTTATTCACTGTTATCTGAGTAGTGAGAATGTATTCTAAATTAATGATTCTCTGATTCAACTGTCAATATGAAAAATGAAAATATGTATCAATATGCTTACTTCAGACTGTAATAGCTGTCATCTTTGTGAGATCTATAGTATTTTTATTATCAGTGAGAATTCATATTGAAGATATAGTAATAAAGTTAAACTTAATTATAAGATTTCAAATTCATGTTACTTCACAGATCATCTTACTAAGAGTTATATATTTAATCTCATTAAAACTTAAAGATATATAAGATTACTTCACTGAATATTATAAAATCAGACTGTCTATAAGCTTAAAAACATAACTGAATGTTAATTTTCTATTATTATTTAAGAAGTCAGCTCAATCAGAATCTGAGTAGCTGAAGAGTAGATAGAAATTATCAGAGAAATCAGAGAGAATAAAGAGATTAATAGAAATAATAGAAATGAATCTCTTATACAGACTGTATCTGTAGAAAATACTCAGATTTATAATCTCTTTTAAATAATATATAATATATAATAAAGTCTTTCAATATTAAGATGTTAAATCAATATTCTGTTAAATAAGTAATAAGATAGTATAAGTGATATCAGAATATATTTTAACTGTAAGATATTATAAATAATTCATATTATATTAATATCACTGAATTGTAAAATCAGTCTCTTTCTCAGATATAGAGAAATTATTAATACAGAATTCAATCTTTATTAATATTCTAATAATAGCTGTATTATCAAGATAGAAATCTTTAATAAGATATTTAATATATTAATAATATATTAAATTAATTTCTTTATCTGAATAATTAACTTTTATACTTAAATACTTAATTAACTGATATAGATTCTTGACTTTTAATTTCTCACTAAGTATACTCACTAGTTAATTAGTATTCTCAGAAACTTCAGATATAATATTAAGATTATTAATATAGATTATTATATAGAGATAACATCTGAATATATAATATCAGATTACTGAATTATAGATACTAACTATAAATTCAAGATTACTCAATAGAGCTGTTAAGTAATTATATCAGATCTTTGTCACAGAGTTCAGACTGTATAAACTACTCTTAATTATATAGATAAGTATTTTCAGCAAATCTGTCTTAAAACTAATAAATTGTCTTATATAGATCTTCTTAGTGAGATGCTTATAAAGATATATTATCACTATATTCACTTAACAGAGTATTTAACTATGTAGTGCTGCTATTATAAAAAGAATATAATTAACAGTATCAGTGATAACAGAAGTATAGATCTCTTCTCTAGAATTCTTCTTAAGTTAGTTATTATAAATCACTCAATGTGATTTTCTAAGAATACTATCAGAGTCAGTATTCAGATCTGTGAGTCTATCTTTCTTAAGAAACACTCAACAGCTCAGAGTAATCAGTTTATTTCTTAGAATATCAGATCTAGAGATTAAACTTCATATATTATATCTCTTCAGATTAGTAATCTTATATTGTATGAACTTCTTTTAATAATCTTCTACTCTCTCTAACTAAGATATGACATTCTTGTAGAACTTCAGAAGATTATCTGTAATAAAGCTCAGAGTATAAGTAATCAGTGATTTCACAGACTGTAATTATATGAAATTCAGATCATCAATATTGAGAGTATCTTTATTATTAATCAGAGGAATATCAGGTTCTAATTTACTAATATTATTAATAAGTGTTACACATGTGATAACTAGTTCTAATTTTTCAGTGATTGAGAATCTCATATTACTACTAATAATAATCTTATCAGATTCAGAATATTATAGACAATATATTAATATATCACTGAATTCAATAATATGATAGAAATCAGTATATGAAGAGAGCTTATTTACAGACTTCTGAGATTCATATAAGTGAATAAAAATCTCTGTACTTAATCAGTGAAAATATCTCACATTCAGTGAGATATTCATAAATGCATATTAAGAAATCTTATATAAACTTGAAATCACAGAAGTCTCTATAATAGAGAATTAAAATTTTGAGTTGTAAAGAACTGTAGATATAAGAGTATTATTAATTATTATAATTACTATCTCTAGAATATCTGCTCAGAACTTCTTAGAGAGATTATCTTTTAAAAGAGCAGCTCTAACTCATTTTATAATAGTGTGAATCTCATGTTCAGAAATATCATCTTAATATAATGAATAAGATATTATTAATTTTCATTTGATATTATATGAATTCATGACTGTGTATATATATATGAATCAGAAAACATTATCAATATCAGTTCATAGAAAAGCAGAAACTATATATTTAAGATTACTCATAAATCTGAGCTATAACTCAAAGTATTGAACAGTCTCATTCTTGAACTTTAAAAAATATACTTAATAGTACAACATCGACCGCTCCACCACGAACTCGCTCGATTTTTCGAATAAGAACCCGCCGATAGATCCATCGAAAAGCCCTCGATCATACGAGCATTTTGACCCCATCGCCGACCGCATACCCCGTGTGGTGGTGGAGTTATCCAGCCAAATGTGAACCAGATGTCATTCGGAACTCCTGCATGGGATTATCCCCCATTCTCCCCTACCACACCACAACCCCGGGCCAAATTGCCATACAAATTATAAGGTGAAGAGACCTAGCTGTATGCACCAATCTTCTCAATTTTGAAAGATCCCCAATCTGTAGTTGTGGAGATATCTGAGAAGTGATCTCCGCGAAAACCCTATCCATCTTTGATGTTTCAAAACTTCAATGCCAAGTCTCACCCTTGTACCATCCTTCCCAATCTGGCCCATCCTCAGCAGAAAAATACAAAAAGATACCTCAGTGATAATATCAAGCACATAATCAACAGACAATGAGTCAACAGCACATTAACAACTATAAAATCAGTATATTTCAAGATCTGACTGACCCTTTGATCCCTGCACAGTGAGATATATTAAATCTAGTTTTAATATCTCAATATTCAATAGATTCTGTAAGAGATTGAGAACAGTAATACTAGATTTCTATTGAATTTAAGAATTAACTTTATATTGATATAATCATTGATAAAGTCTTCTATTTTAAGATATAAATAACCAGTTCCTCTACATCTCACTGATAATATTTATATTATTATATAGAAACAGACTTATATTCTCTATAATATCAAGACTCTGAAGAGGGAAAGTCTTGATAGAGAATATATAGTAGTGTATATCTTAGCAGTTTCTATCTCATTCTTCTGCAGCAGTCAATGTATAAAAAAAAAAGATCTTAGAAATAGTTTTTTACTTCTCTTGAAAAAGTAAGATGTTTTTCTTTGAGTTTTATATAATATTCTTACAAAGAATTAAAAACAGAGCTGTTTTCTATCATAATTTCATATTCTTTTAAGTAAGAATTACTTTTTCAGTGACTGAAGAGCTTTTATTAATACTTAATTCTTTTTTATACTCTTTATTAACTGATTTGAGTTGCACACTTGTTATGTGAGAAGAATTGAATAATTTAAAATAAAATTGAATAGTTTTAATCAATTTCTCTGCAAAAAATTGATTTATTTTTTGTCAGTTTTTCTCTTAAAAACTGTCATATTATCTGATTTATTATCAATTGATATCATACTTTTTCTCACTGTATTTCAAGAAAGAGATTATAAAGATTTTATTGATTTATCTTAAAAATCAATTTTAGTTTATTAAATTCTCTTGAAAAATCTAACCTAGTTACTGAACTAGTGTGAAAAAAATCAGGTATTTTATATAAAAAAGTCTTTTATTCTTTCTTTGAAACAGTCTGACCAACTTTTTAATTAAAAAT